CGAATTGAAATTAAACCTGAAACATAGGATATAATGGATAGTTTGTAGTCAAATTGATCCAATACAAAAAATTTAAAGAAAAACAAGCAAACAAAATTAGGAAAGCACTTAAGAGTCATTTAAGAAGAGGATAATTATCTGAGTGATGTAAAAGCATTTGATGTAGTGCCAAAAAGAAATGTTTAGAGATGATGGAGCAAAACGAAAAAATTTTCTTCTCTGTTGTTGGTAAGAAAGAGGAAAAATAGTTTATTTTAATGATGTTGTGCAAGATACTATTAAATAACAGTTGTGTAATAAGTGGCCAAGTTCGTGGCAGCATAACAACAGCCTATATAATTAGCCAACTAGTGAGTGACCAGTGACCACTACTCTTGTTGTTGTAATCCTATTTAATCCTTTTTATCTAACAGTTCCATCATTCATTGTTTAATAATCAGTATTTTTAGGTCAGGGTCATTTAATGAGTTTAAACAATTTTGCATATTGTCCTATTCCAACATCGTTTAATTTTTTTTTCAGGAATTGAATTTTCAAAATTTCAAGAATCAAGTATTTTCAATTAAGAATTTTTAATTGGAAAATTTAGATTAGAGAAATTTAGAAAATTAAAGAATTTTCAAGAATTGGTCCTGCGTAAATTATTCACCCCAACTAAAATTTATGTGAATGAAAATTTAGATTGCAAGTTTTCTTCAAAACTTTTCTACGTAATCAAAATATTTAGAAAAATGATGAAATGAAATGCATAAAAGGTCAAGAGACCTTCTCGGAAAACATAACAAAAAAAAAAATACATTTTTGAGTAATTATTTTGAAAAGCCTATTTTGTTTATTGCTAATTATTCATGAAAAAACTTATTACCATTCAAATATACTCAATTACCATTCTATTTCCTTAATATGCGTATCGTATGTAACTTCTTAATGGCCTCTAAAAGATCTTTTAATTTTTATTGCTTATCTATCCAAAGTCTTTCATTCAACGTTACTCTTTGTCACCACTAATTATCCTTATTTGCCAAAATGATTAGCTCAAATTGTTTTCCCAATATTTTCGTTGCCAAAATATTTTCACGTTAATGCTAAACTTTAATCTATCCTAAATTAAATGGTTCATTGCTCTTTCGATTGGTCAACTAACATTATCTTTGATATTGTTACTAAATAATATCCAAAAGTTATCAAATATTACTGTCGGGTAAATTATCTGAGTAAATTATCAAATAATTATAAATTCCTTCCCCCAACTGAATATTAGACTAAAATTGAAAGTTAACTGACTGATTCTGTTAGAAAGTCAGAAAATTTGCAAGTATTCCTTGATTGAATCAAGGTCAAGAGTAAAAAAGTACTAGAGATAGATAGATTAGATAGATAGATAGATAGATAGATAGATAGATAGATAGATAGATAGATAGATAGATAGATAGATAGATAGATAGATAGATAGATAGATAGATAGATAGATAGATAGATAGATAGATAGATAGATAGATAGATAGATAGATAGATAGATAGATAGATAGATAGATAGATAGATAGATAGATAGATAGATAGATAGATAGATAGATAGATAGATAGATAGATAGATAGATAGATAGATAGATAGATAGATAGATAGATAGATAGATAGATAGATAGATAGATAGATAGATAGATAGATAGATAGATAGATAGATAGATAGATAGATAGATAGATAGATAGATAGATAGATAGATAGATAGATAGATAGATAGATAGATAGATAGATAGATAGATAGATAGATAGATAGATAGATAGATAGATAGATAGATAGATAGATAGATAGATAGATAGATAGATAGATAGATAGATAGATAGATAGATAGATAGATAGATAGATAGATAGATAGATAGATAGATAGATAGATAGATAGATAGATAGATAGATAGATAGATAGATAGATAGATAGATAGATAGATAGATAGATAGATAGATAGATAGATAGATAGATAGATAGATAGATAGATAGATAGATAGATAGATAGATAGATAGATAGATAGATAGATAGATAGATAGATAGATAGATAGATAGATAGATAGATAGATAGATAGATAGATAGATAGATAGATAGATAGATAGATAGATAGATAGATAGATAGATAGATAGATAGATAGATAGATAGATAGATAGATAGATAGATAGATAGATAGATAGATAGATAGATAGATAGATAGATAGATAGATAGATAGATAGATAGATAGATAGATAGATAGATAGATAGATAGATAGATAGATAGATAGATAGATAGATAGATAGATAGATAGATAGATAGATAGATAGATAGATAGATAGATAGATAGATAGATAGATAGATAGATAGATAGATAGATAGATAGATAGATAGATAGATAGATAGATAGATAGATAGATAGATAGATAGATAGATAGATAGATAGATAGATAGATAGATAGATAGATAGATAGATAGATAGATAGATAGATAGATAGATAGATAGATAGATAGATAGATAGATAGATAGATAGATAGATAGATAGATAGATAGATAGATAGATAGATAGATAGATAGATAGATAGATAGATAGATAGATAGATAGATAGATAGATAGATAGATAGATAGATAGATAGATAGATAGATAGATAGATAGATAGATAGATAGATAGATAGATAGATAGATAGATAGATAGATAGATAGATAGATAGATAGATAGATAGATAGATAGATAGATAGATAGATAGATAGATAGATAGATAGATAGATAGATAGATAGATAGATAGATAGATAGATAGATAGATAGATAGATAGATAGATAGATAGATAGATAGATAGATAGATAGATAGATAGATAGATAGATAGATAGATAGATAGATAGATAGATAGATAGATAGATAGATAGATAGATAGATAGATAGATAGATAGATAGATAGATAGATAGATAGATAGATAGATAGATAGATAGATAGATAGATAGATAGATAGATAGATAGATAGATAGATAGATAGATAGATAGATAGATAGATAGATAGATAGATAGATAGATAGATAGATAGATAGATAGATAGATAGATAGATAGATAGATAGATAGATAGATAGATAGATAGATAGATAGATAGATAGATAGATAGATAGATAGATAGATAGATAGATAGATAGATACTGCAATGAATGTCATACCATAAACGCTAAAAATGTCAATAATTCAAAAACATATATCAAAAATATGTCATTTTTATTATAACGAGGATGTTTTTGTTTTGTTTTTATCAAAATAAAATTTGAAATTTGGAAGAGAAAAAAATTAAGAAAAAGAAGAAAAGAAGAAGTACGCTCTAATGATATCAAATAAAGATGTCTTTAATTCAAAGATTAATTGCGCAAGAAATGATAATAAAAAGACTTAGATCAAGGGATAGATTTTCATCAGTGTCAATTATTGGGAGCTAAAAGAAGAAAAGATGGAAAAAAATTTCTTTCCAAATTCTCGAGAGAGCTTTAGATTTAAATATATGAAATTTTCTATGAAGAAAGGAGCAACAACATTCAGACCAAAACCATTTATTCGCATATGATTCATAAAATTCGGAAAAGAAGCGCAAACCGACTTTGACATTATTAAATATATTCTTTCTACCACTTCTACTTTTGACTTTTTTTTGCGTTTTTATTGCATTGATTCAATCAAAGAATATTTGCAAATTTCATGACTTTGTAATGGAATCAATCAGTTAATTTTCAAATTCAGTCTGATATGCTATTCGAAAGTATTGTATGATAATTTGCTGAATAAAAACCGCCAGTAACATTTGATTATAATATTTGACTTAACAGTCAAATAACCGGCAATTTACTTATCCAACTTCAGGCTTCATTTTTTGCTAACTGAATTGGCTATAATTCACATCCGGTTACAATTAGAGCTTTTGTCGCTATTATTCAATATGTTGAATAATAGCGACAAAATTCACAAAGACTTAACAATTTGAATTACATATACTTTTTTAGTTGAAATTTTCCTGTAAAGAAGTGAAAAAAATGTTTAAAAACTTTCATCGAGAAAAAAATTTTTTTAAATCAAATTTTCTGGTATTTTTTCATTTTGTTGCAAGGCGCAGTCTTGTCGTAATAATTTTATCATAAATTTTTCACCCACATAAAATTTTCTGCACTCGAAATGTATGCAATAGAACTTTTGTATTAATTTTAGTTGGGCTGCTTGGAATTTAAAATTTATGATTGCGTTCTTTTCTTTTTTTCATACCGATAACGCTAATGTCTTTATAATTTAAGCTAACTTTTTGAAACTAAATTTCTAGTTAATCGTACATTTTTGCTAATAATTTTTAAGTCAAATGTTTTATTTAGATTAAAAGGAAATAAAATTTCAAACATATTGAATGGCACATCACAGTACATTGGAATGAAAAACTAAAATTAATTAAATTTTAAGTATGCAACTGAGGAGTGCCATAAGTAAAAGAGTTGATGGAACTTTATTACCAACTTAGTCTATAACAGCTAGCATCGGATTTTAAGCATTTTTAAGAGTTTTGGAGCGAAATTTTGAATTGACAATTATGTGAGATGAGAGAGACGAAATAGTACAAAGCATTATAGGCTCCAAAAATGAATTACTCTGAAATAGAATGGCCTTCTTGAACACACATAATATTTAGTTCCTAGGCCAATTCTGCCGAAGTAAACAATCGAAAGGTTTGGCCTAGACGTGCCTTTTGTTTAACATATACAAATAAATGGATATGCATGCATGTAGGCATGCATGTGGTTCCACACATCGCTGTGCATGTCTGTGCACTTATTTATTTCATTTCCGAAAAAAGTTTTTGAGCTGGAAGGAAGGAAGGAAGGAGGTTTACTGCTTCTGATATCAATTTTAAAGGCTTATTTCACTGACTTTCAGATGTCAAATCAAGCGACAGAGAGCAGAAAGACTTCTCTTGTGTACGCCGCATTTCATTTACTACTTGAGCAGTGTAAATGAAATGATTTCGATGATTTGGTAGGTTTGGATTGTTCAGTTCTTATGTTTCTTAGGATTTTCAGATATTTGGGAGGAGATAAATAGTTGAATGGTAGACAGTAAATGAAGAATGTTTGAAGCAATAAATATTTGAAATTTTAATGGGAAATGATAAGACGGAAGGGAATTATCAATGACTTTGTTAGTTACTAATTATAACAGAATTAAGAGGAAATCTACATAAAAAAATTAGCATAAAAATTTTGGATCGAGTAGACAGTTCATAATGAGAGGCTTTTTTTTTTAGTTTAGATTTGATTCCTAAAGGAATAAGATTGCAGTTTTATAACTCGAATATCTAAATATCCAATCTTTTGGAATCGCATCGTTCTGAAGCAACATGCAAAAATAATCACTGAAGAGAGATGTCGCTTCTGGCGGTTACTGAATACAGATGGCACTCTTGACGATATTTTCTCGGGAAAAACAGTTTCGGGGAAAAGATCATCTCAACTCCGTTCAGCATAAAGTGTTGCTTATTTTCCGCGGAAAACACAAATAGGTTTTAGGTTATACAATGAATTTAATGCACACACACTCTCCTTCTCTCTCCCTTTCCCTCTCTCTCTCTCTCTCTCTCTCTTACCAACAAGAATAAACCTCCATTATTTATTAAATCTGATTGTGATTTCTGCTATTTTACTAAATCTGAAAGTCTATAAATGTAAGCGGCTGATTCATTTGTTTATTAGATCGCACCTTCTTGCGATGTTAAATGTCAAACTCTAAAGGAAACACATTATCAACAGCGCTCATTTCATTATCGTTCAGTTTCAATCATATATCGAAATCTTTATTCTCACTTCTTTACAACTGTTTGTCAAAATATTCATCGAAGAGAAGAAATGAAAAACCTTTAAAGAGTGATGTAGTGACTTTTCTGTCTAATGATTACAATTTTTTAAACATTTTACACAAACCAAACTTTTGCGCTAATAAGTGATGCTAATATTGTTTATGCTATTATAATGAAGTTTAGACTTGATTGGATGAAAGAAAAACAAGGAGGAACTATTCTATGCTTATGAGTTTAAAGTTTGATGAAACAGAAATGAAATAATCAGTAATCAGAAATTGGGAAAAGATGGTGATTGTTTTCAAAAAAGGAAATATAATGGATTGCTTGAAGAAAGATGAATAAATAAAATTGAAGGAAAATAATATTTCAGTCGAGATTTTAAAAAAAATAAATATTGCTTCAAAACTTCACAGTGCTTATAAAAATAGAAATTTCGATTACCTTATGAAAAATACGAATTTTGTATTTGGAAGAAATGGAATATAGTTTTTTTGAGCAGCGGCTAGTTTCCAGGGAAAGAACAAAATTTTGAAAATAAGTGATAGTGGGTTCAAATGAAGGGAGATTAACATCATATGTGATGAAAGACGAAATTCATGTCCATCAACTTTTTATGAGCCAATTGTATAGATGTAATAAAATTCCCTTGAGGCTTCACTGACAACTTTGCAAGAAAAAAAAGAAGAAAAACAGCAAAAAACTCTTCTTGTTTGCTAAATATGGTAAGAACTTTACAAAAATGAATGCTTATATGGTATAATTAAACTACCTAATTAATTAATGATCTAATACTAAGATTAATTAGAGAGTAAAGCAGAAAACAACGAATGAAGTTTGCTTGAATTTATGCGCTTTCAAATAATATTCAAATAACAAACTGTTCAGTTCATTACTTAATTTCTATTTTGTTATATGATAGACGTTGTTATTCTTTAAGAATATTTTTTATAAGTTAATTTGCACTTCGTCTCAAATTATTATTCTCAATCTTTCTACTTCTCGCTTCTTTCAAAACAACGTAGGCCTAAGCCAACTCATGTAGAAAACAACTCCGAAATTGTTATTTCCAAAATTTCCAATTCATGTAATAGCTACCCTTGCACTATTTTCAAGTAAATATTAACATCAGTGAATAAGGTTTTTGGGGGGTCAAACGTCATTTGCTGTTACTGTCACATTCACAGTTACATATAGTTATCATAATATAACTATCACAGCAATCAATTTTTTTATCAATCAATGGATGAAGAGATTATCATTTGTTATCAGATGTTGTTAATTATTATAACTGGTGATAATAGATAATAATGTGATTATATCTGTTGCAAACTAAATAATCTCGCAGAGAGAGGAAGTAATAAATGATTTCCTGACAAAAAAATCAATTCTTAACGTTTTGACAAAGAAATATGCTTTTTCCCTTTCCCTTTCCCTCTCCCTCCCTCTCTCTCTCTCTCTCTCTCTCAATCAATTATGGTAATATATTGGTTCGCATCATTGCTATCTTTAACGTTCCATTTCAGGAACGGTAGCATTGAGAACATTAAACTTAATTGTGCATAGAAAAATATTGAATATTTAATGATACGGAAGCTTCCTTCTATAAAACTTATCGCGAAAAGCTCAAAAGATGGAACTAAAATACGACTTTTTATTTATTTCTTCATAAAAAATGAAGGATTACTCTGCATTGTACATAAAAAATGGATTGCTCTGTGTTGAAATTTGATTGATTGATATTTACCTATCGTTATCAGTTGATTGATATTTACCTATCGTTATCAGTTGATTGATATTTACCTATCGTTATCAGTTGACTGATATTTACCTAGCGTTATCAGTTGATTGATATTTACCTATCGTTATCAGTTGATTGATATTTACCTATCGTTATCAGTTGACTGATATTTACCTAGCGTTATCAGTTGATTGATATTTACCTATCGTTATCAGTTGATTGATATTTACCTATCGTTATCACTCATTTGACTTACTTATGGATAAGTGCTATTGTTATCTGTGATCATCACCTAGTAATCAGATCGCATGTGTAATTTTAATGAAATTCGTGGTTTTATGATAGTTGTATCATCTCATCTTTCAAATGCTGGCGTTTATTTAAGCAACTCACAGTTATTACAATTGTAAAATTACTTTCATAAATCAATGTTTTGAGTACTTCCCAGAAATCATAAAAATTAGTTATTTTGGATTATAATTTTTCTAAACACAAGACACTCATTCAGATATATGAGACTTGCAATTTGGATCAATGAAGTTTGTGAAAGATTTTTTTGGATAGAGCAAAAATGGATGAAAAATTATGGATGTAAAATATTAGAAAACTTTTTTAATTTGCTTTAAACTTTAAAGTACGATTGATGTGCATCACTCTCCTTGCATAAATAATTGCTCATTCAATTCGAAAAAAGGAAATTGTAGCAAAAACTGTCGTTTTAGACGTGAAATATACTAAAATAATTGAATTTAGAGAAGTAATAATTTTACAACATATTGAATTGAATAAATTCCAATAAAATGAAATGAGTAAAGAGAGAATTCCACGATGATTCCATTGGAACATTTCACACACTAAAAAATTTCACTTCGTTTACTTTATTTTTTCTAAAGTGAACAGCAAAAAATAAGGTTATTTGATCAAGTGGACCACTATCAAATATAAATAAAATACACAATTTAAAATATTATATTTTATTCTTTATAACTAAAAGAAATCTAACAAGTTAAAATGTCTTTTATAAATAAAATTTGTTATACATTTTCAGAGCAATGGATTTTTAAAAAAAAAAATTTTTTTTCAAAATACCAAATCTCCCTATAAATTCACTTCTTTCATATTACCCTAGTACACCACATTAATCAAACACATGAAAATCAATCAAAAAGTTAAGTTTTCTTTTTCACTCCGATGTCTAAGGATTGCAAAATTTATAACGATCTAATGTAAAAGGATTTTGAATCTGAAAAAATTTCAAAAAATATCGTTAAATATTTATATATTCTTTAAAATTGAAAGATTAGCGTTATAGGGTGTTCGATCTAATCATATGGCTGTCGAAACTCGAAATTTTTGAAATAACTAAATCAATTACATTTGAAACATTACAATAGATGAAAAATGACGTACTTAAACGATAAAGGTATTTTCAAAATATTATCAAACCATTTTTTCATTCGTTCTTTCAACCGGCAATTAAAACCATCCCCTGAACAGATTACTTATTCTTTCTTACTTTTAACCTTTTACCTGGATGATAATCTTAAGTTCATTGATAGCTTCATTAACATATATTAAATTCTTCAAATCGAATTGAAGAAATCGACGCAAGAAAAATGCTTTTGCTGTAATGAAAGCATTTTATCCGGATAATTTGACGTTTTTTTTTTTTTTGCACAGTTTGAAAACAGGCGAATGAATTGATTCTTTACAAACATCAGAGAACAATAATCAGAAAAGATTAGAGATTAGAGTTGATTACCACGTTACCTTGTACAATCCGTAGAAGATTGAATTGGAATCGATTGATAGTGTTTAGATGAAAGTTTTGATAGAAGCATACAAATGTTGCAAGTTGAGAAAGACAGGGAATTTGTATTGTTGTTGACAATTGCGAGTCATTCTTGACAACATGCAATTGCCTACAGTTGCTATTAAGTTTATTATCAAATAGGAAACTTTCTAAGAATTAGAAATCAAATTAGCGAGTATTTACAGTATTCTAAACAATGCAAATTATTGTTGTCATTGTAATATTTAACCAATCTAAAATGTTTTGATTATAGGAACATATAAAATTATTTCTATTTTTGTAATATTTCTGTTGAAAAATTAAGACATTAAGTAACAATATGAGGAGTATAGCAAAGAGAAAGCTATTTCTTCTCTCTGTGCTTCTCGTCAGATGTTTTGTATTATTTCTAATGCTTTTTCTCGTTAATTTCATTCATCCTAAACTAATATCTTTTTGATTGATTTGATATTGAAATAATCATTCATGTTTTTGATTGATTCCGTATTGAAATAATCAGTCCATTTCTGTTTTTTTTTTTTAAATTTAACAATTTTTGAATCGTTCTTTTGATCGGAGCAATTAACAGTTTTTCATTGATTCTTTTTACGTTTATATTATTTTTTTGTAATAGTAATTTAACAGCTTTAGTTAAGATGCTCATAGACAACCACTAAAAAATAATAGTTTATTTCTATTTTGACTACTTTCAATTGCGAATATTGAAAACTAGAATTTTGTATTTTGAGAATCAGTCTTTTATAGTTTTTATATTTTTTTTCTTCCATAGACGATGAATCCTCGTTTTTAAATTCCAATTTGATTTTTGTTGGTCCATAGATCAATAATGATATCATGAATATTAGTAATGATATCACCATCCATTAATTATGCTTTAATAAATCCACAATTCGATGTCTCCATCTATTTGTTCACAATTCCTACTACAGTTACGATGAATAGATTTTGCAATATTGAGTTTGACTTCTTAAATATTCCTTGTGAGTGCTCCTGGTTCTTAGAGCATTAGGTTCTTCTAGTTCCCAGTTCTTTGTTTGTCCGCTTTCCTTGTTAACTGAGCACCTAAATTTCATTCTCCTTCAATTTTTAGTGCATACAGCAAATCTATTAGTTCGTAGAGAAGTATTCCATGTGGTAAGTCATTTAAGACATTGTTTTTATTCCTAAAAAGTTTTTATATATCAGAAGAGCTATTGATTCATTGATTAATCTCTTCATCAAGTGCTATTCATTCTCGTTTCTGCTCCTTTACAGAAATCTGTTGTCTTTATGTACAAACTCTAGGACTAGTCAAGTACTCATTTTCTATTATTTCCGTGAAAGATATCAGGCGTTTTCAAAGTACTAAACCAATGCTTTACATCTTTTTCTTTAGTATTTTTTTTTCTTTTTTTTTTTATGAGGAATAAATTATTTTATCGTATTTACAATTTATAAATGATAATTTAATGGGAGAAAGTCCCTTCGTTGCGGTGTCAACTAGGTTACGTTCGCTTGAGATATAACTTGTGCTTTATCAATATGATTCCTTACGAATTTTGATAATGGCCAGAATTCAAATCAGGCCACAGTATAAGTGGTATATCTGCTAAGTCTAACTGTTGTAAAACAAAGTTGGTAACTCTCATCGCAATTAGTATTGCTGTTCACACCGCTCACAAAAGCGATTTATGATTTGGCAGTGACCAATTCCTTAAATTTTACTTCTTAAATTACACACATTGTAATGGAATATGCATGTGGAAGCATTGGCGAAAACATAAAAAAGGATTTTGCTTTTTTCTATTTTTGAAAGATTCTTTCATTTCTGTGGCAGTAGCATTGTCAACGTGTGAAAATTGCTTCTAATTTCTCTTCGCTTCTACGTATTTCTAAGTAATGATTAGAGGTAGCTGAACGATAACATTGCATATTCCCTTCCATTAGTTATTCTCGTACATCCTTTAGCTAAAGAGTTGAGTGAGCATAGTTTTTTCCGTCAAATTAAGTTTCATTTAAAATAATGCCTTTTTTATCAACTATTATTATATTTTCCACCATCATTTGAAAAAGAAGTAAAACTTTTATTAGATCTGGTAGCATTATAGCATTATTGGTCCATGGTGTAAAACACAATTCAAACTTTGTTTTTTTTTTTATATGAGCTGAAGCATCACAAACAATTAGTTGTAGTCTTACTTAGAATTATGATTTCATGATGAGCTCAGTAATGAATAATGCCAATTTGATTCATCTCGACTCTCCAATTTTATTGGACTGTCGTTGTTCTTTAATCATTTTACTGTACTTACTGAATAAAAATTCATTTAAAGTCATTTGATTAACAATTTTAAGTAATCAAAATTGAAATTTGAATAAAATTCAAAGTTGATTAGTTTAATCTTGACTCTTTCCAAAGCCAGGAGACTTGATATTCTTCATCATGTATAATAATAGTTCATTTAAACTGTTCTAATGCTTTTTCATTATTAAGTTGTTCTTGTATGTTTATGAATTCTAGTTGCCAGAATCGATTTCTATTATTCAAGTTTATTATCTCGGCCTTAGTTGATTACAACTGCCACAAAACGAAAACTTTGAATTTGGCTTATGCATCCGCTTTCAGTTATTATGGGTCCAATTTTGTATAAAATAAGGAAAAAGCTAATTTTAGAGTTACCTGTCCTTCTTGCTGCTTAGCTGATTTTGATTTATTATAACTGGCAAATCATAATAATGGTTTCACTTAATTACTTGCATCAAGCAATCTATAATACTGGCTATATCATTATAATTTTCAATGAAATTTATTCCGATTTCTAACTTAGAATCTTATGACAGATGAAAAATCAACTCCTTTTTTTTGATTTATTATGGTTCTTCCAATCGATTTGCTAATTTGTTGAAGATGAAGCTTAGTGTAATTCAGTATCAAAAGGCACTACAATTGCTTGGATTTTCGGCATTAGATTAATTAATCTCACTTCTTTACGTAGCAGTAAGATTCCGTTATTTTATTGATTCCTTTATAGATTATCAAAGTCGTTTTAATGATTGGTAAACTGAAATAATTTTATAATATATTAAATTAATTTTGTATAAAATGTACGAGATATAAGCTAAAGATTATCTTATTTGAATATTCCTTTGACAAACATAAAACTGTTCCAAATTTATACCTTAAAGAGAAATCATTTATCTAACACTCATACTAGAGCTTATATGCATTGCTATTAGTTAAAAGGTTTGTGAGTTCTTTGTTCAATTAGCTTTCTTTACTACGAACTACTTGGAGTACTGTAGGGATTATCTAATCTGACAGTTACTCTTATAAGCAATTGATGCAATGCTATAAAGACTAAAGATGATCATCCGAGAGTGGTGACAGCTCTTTACTTACTCTGTTGTAAGCCAATGCCCATTATATAAACTATTGTCAGGATTCAGTTTTTTGATTATTTTTTTAGTTTCGATTCGTTCGTTTCAGAATTACACCTACATCAATTCATTTCCAACGAGTGATAATATAACAACAACGATAATAGTGGTGGAGCGAAAGAGAGGAACGACAGAAATACCCCAATTTAGTGAATTGTTGGAATAATTTAATATTCGATTTTTTCATTTCCTTTCCATTACTATGTAATGATATGATATCATCCAAGAAAAATAAAACTTGCCGAGATTACAGCAACAACAAACAGTAATTGTTGAGTTGGAGTTTCCCTTCAGTGTTCCATTGTTTGCACACTATTTGATATGACATATGTTATTGAGAGTGACACAAGTGTGACAGTCATTAGATAAGTGGTCATCGATACAAAGGCGCAGGTCTTTTTGTGGTATTGTTTATTGGTTTCTACTCTAACTGCTGCTTGACACAGAGTCAGTTCTGAAATGTTCGACTGTCACCAGCGCAAATTGCTTAACTTCGATTGATTTCTACTGGGCTGACTTCTTTCCACTCCATCTGGGCTACAGAAATTGTCAGAACTTATGTGCTAACCAGTATTCTTTTTTGCTGGTCCTTTAGCCTAATATAAAACCTGCTAATGAGTTTACTTTCTATAATATTTCCTATACTGAAATGTTTAAGTTTTTAAATAACGGATCATTCTGCAAAATATTCCATCAATACTCTTCTTATAATTTTGTGGGACGAAAAAGACGTCTCTTTGAAAGAAGAAATTAAATAATTCATTTTCTGGTATGGCTTGAAAATGAAAACAGTAATAAAACTAAAAGAAATTAAACTTTTTTATCATTACTTTTGGGAGCAAAGTCACTAAAAAACGTACTTATATACCAAAATTGAAATCTGATCAATAAAACAAGGAAACAAAATTTCAAATGATCGAAAACAGTAGGTTTGATATCTCCATCCGAAGCGTTTACCATATATTTTAAGTCAAAATGATTGACATTTTCTTTTTCCAACTTCCCTTTGGTTAGTTCCGATAACCACTGTCTACTCAGATAATACTAAAATATAACAACGAATACCGATTTCTTTTAGAATAGTCATTCATCACTTCGAAGATATCGTTGGTATTACTTTTTCCATATTTTTTTTAAAGGAAGAAAACCAAAATAAGGTACAAACTAAAGTAGAGGCAAATTTGTCATACTATTGTCATTTGCGGAAGTAATTTAGAAGCAAAAGAGTGTATATTTCAGTGCTGTAATTACTTTGGCAACCAAAAGAATAATTTAAAAGAGCCATAAATTTGTGGTTACCTTAATATCCAACTCTTTTCTGTTTATTAATACTTTTAGCTCTTTTTTTACGAAAACTCTTATCCTAACATAGTTGATTATAGTAAAACCAACCTTTAGGATACGCAAATATTAAAAAGCAGTTGGTAAGTTTGTTTGTTTTTGAAAATGGAAAAATTGTTATTTCTTTTCAAATTAGCAATTCTGATCTTGAAATTATTAAAGGACATGTCTAAATTCGGTAGACGAGACAATTTGGTACATCAGGCTAGTTTTGATCGCTTGCAGAATGCTACAATAAAGCAAGAAAATGTTAAAAAACATCGGAAAGAAATTGCGGAATCACCAGAATATGCTCGAGTAAGTCAAGCTATCAGTTAACATAAGTTCATTTTACTATGTAATAACTTGATCCAATGTTCGGTAAAATGTTAAAGATACAACATTCAAAGAATCTCAAAATAATCATACCGAATTGTTCTACGGGATGGTTCTGCTACCAATTATTGAGAGAACTGAAACAAGACAGTTCCCCTTTTCACTTATTTGACGTATTTCTCGCAGTATAACACTGCAAATGACACTTCCAAGTCGCATTGCAATAAACGTACAAAAAAAAAATTGAAAAAAAGTGATCGATGCCTTTAACATTTATTTTCTATGATTTCTCATCTTTCGAAGATAAAACATTTATTAATTACCAAATTGACCACAATTAGACTCTTGGACGTCGGTTAGTCTAATTTTACTATCCAAAAGCAAAATGAAACAAAAAACGAAAGAGATTCTTGTTAAGAAGTTGTATAAAGGAATAGCCTCTGCCATTTATGAAATGTTAAAGAGACAAACTTACTTAGAGCAAAAAAACCAAAGAAATTTACAAAAATTTTACAACCACTTCTATGATTGGAACAAAGTAGCTTGATGAATATAACTCTCTGTTTGTGCGCTATTGTCGCTCCTATAAAACAATATCAATCTTTTCCTTATTTTTATTTCTTTTTGGTCTTACTTATGCTTGTTTATTTACAGAATATTTATCATATTCGTTTAGATTCTGAAAGAATTAAACGACGAAGGCATCGAATTGATTTGGTCATCTGGCATCAATGTACCAATGAGAATCGCTGTTGTATTGGCTGCTGAAGGTAATACTTTCATCAAAAATATTTCCTGTAATTAGTCGCTATCAAATCAACAATAGAAAATAGTCAACAGATTGAATTTCAATTCTTCGAATACCTTATGATGTCTCAAAATAATTAAAACAATTGCCTAGTGATTAAAGAGCTTTATTTGTTTATTTATTGTCACCAACAGAGGACAGCATTGAGTTCTTATCGTCGATTTTGGTGGAATATGAAATGAACGGTATACGTCTCAAACACCTGGAAATACGTCCGGTACAGGAAAGAAATGGATCTTACATAGTAGCCGACATAAAAAAAAACTTGAAAGGTTGTCGAAAACTTAAAAACAACTTTTAAAATATATTGTAGATGTATTGGAATAGAAGAACCTTTCATTGCTATATGCTTTTGATTCTGCTTTTTATTAAAAAAATGAAAATTTCCAGAACAGTAGTTATTATTTGTCCAAAATTTAAATCAATTTTTTTATGATGAACTAATAAATAATTACTTTTTCAGTAAAGTTTGAAATTTTTGCTGATTGTGAATGCACGAAAGATGCATTTTTGAATACAACGAAATGTTTAGCAGATCGATATCACATCATACGACTGAATGTGTATAATAGTACCGATGAATCGATAGAAAAGAGTATCTTTCTAGGAGTTTGATTAATTTCAAATATTTATAAAATAATATAACAATTAGCTTTTTCATTCTTAAACCTTTTTCATCAAAAAGCACCCTTGATAAAGAGTTGGTATATTCTATTTCAAATATTTGATAAAACAGTTCAGAAACTTTAGTAAAAACTTTATTGTTTTGTATTAATTATAACTTTTTGGAAAATAAAAATCTAAGCTAGGCATTATGGAAAGTAAGTTTATGCATATGATGATTCTGTTCAGTTCCATGGTTTCCGAAACACATTTCCGATCTGGACAAATGCTACCATTGTGTAGTGAAGTATGAACCAACATCTGATCCGCGACATCCGGTACCGCAGTTGTCAACTTTTCTCTTTAGCCTTTAGTTTTGTTAAGGAAAATTTTTTAGGAAATAAATCAGAAAGCAAAAAGTAAATATTATTAATGCATCAATCAGTGTCAATGAATTTGACAGACACATTGAGCGATTTCATAGTTTTGTGTGATTCGATCACTGCCAGAACACATACTAACAAAATAGGAAGAGCATCCGAGTGGTTGTTGTCACTTTCAGGGTTACGGCGATAAAACATATATCCAACGAAGAGAGCAGCTGAACGACATTGCCAAAGAGTATAAACAGTAAGTTTGTTGGTGACCAGTTTTGACAGGTTTAAACTCCAAATATTTTCTCCTTTCTTAACCAGAGTTTAATGTTTTTTTTTTTTTTTTTTTCATTAAGCCTTAAATACTTTTTTCTAAGCATTGATTTGTTCCTGTTAAGGTAAAAATTATCTCCAAAATGACATGTGAGAATGTAAAATTCGCCCTTGTATTTTTCGACTATTCATTAATGACAATTTTCGCTGAAACTTCAATTTAATTTGCTTTCAGTGGCGAAAAATTGCCGGAGATTGAATATAGTTCGGAAGAGCACAAAACTTGGGAACTTGTCTTTAACAAGCTCAAATCACTGCATTCTTCTTATACTTGTGTCGAGTATCAACAAAATTTTAGACAAATGGAATTGGAAGGACTTCTAGAGCCTACTCGAATACCAAAATTATCGCTTATTAATAAATATCTTCAACGTAAAATTTTAACAATTACTAAAAACCCTAATATTAACCGTTTTATTTAATGCTAATTTTTTTTTTTTTTGAATCGTTTTTAACAATTTTTCTCATCATTTTTAAACCACTAAAATGTTATAGTTAAATCGCATTAAGAATTTTCATTTTCCTAAAAAATCTTAAGGACAAAGTCATCTCAAACCAATTAAAAAAAGGTTCATTGTATTATCTTCACAACGAATTATTAAAACAAAGTTTTTTGGAAGTTTGAACTTTAACTTTCTGTCTAATATTAAGGTCAATCTATAAGTTATATAAATGTATAACACCCTATCCTACCTCTATTTAAAGAAAAAATTTAAGAATGGTGACGCAGATATTAACAGTTGGCTTTCCAGGTAAAACCGGATTTACACTTCGACCATGTGCTGGATTACTTTCAGCACGTGATTTCCTGGCTAGTTTGGCATTTCGAGTCTTCCAAGTTAATCTTTTTTCAATGCTTAATTTTTGAAACCTACTGAAAGTCCTTAGAATGGCTGTTGTTCATTTTCAGACTACTATATACGTTCGACATTATGGTTCACCTCATCATTCCCCAGAACCGGACTTAATTCATGAATTCATCGGACATTGTCCAATGTTTGCTGATCCGCTCATTGCCCAATTCTCTCAGCAAATTGGACTTCTATCACTGGGTGCAACTGATGAGCAGATCGAACAGCTTGCTACAGTATATATTTTGAGTCTTTTTACAGCTTGCTACAGTATATATTTTGAGTCTTTTTACAGCTTGCTACAGTATATATTTTGAGTCTCTGTTCCATATATGCTTGATTTGCAGTATATTTACTGCAATATTTCTTGTAATAGTTATATTTGATAATTATCAGTACGATAGCATATATTAAGTATAATGAAGTTGTTCTCAGATGTACTGGTTCACGATTGAATTCGGTTTGTGTCGCCAGAATGGTCAGTTAAAAGCTATCGGCGCTGGATTGCTTTCCTCATATGGTGAACTTATGGTTTGTTTTCTGCTGTGCACTAACAAATTAATTTAAAAAATTTTATGTTAGAATTTCTGAATTTGATGTTAACTTTGAAAATTTCCGTTTTCCTCTTAGAATAAGACAACGTTGAATTCATTGATTGATAAACAAATCTCTTTTAGTAAATAGGAATAGTCAATGTTCAAACTCGACATCCATTATTTTCCAGGATAACACAAAATTCCACAGCAGAATTAATTGCTCAAATAACAAAAACCAAATCTTTTGACAATAGTAATTATTGATAACAATTATGATTATTATAACTTAAGTATGGTAGAATAACAATAATAAAATAATTAATAGTAATAATAATCAATGGTACTAAATAACAGTGCCAGTGAGAAAGACACAATAATTCAGTAAGTAAGAAAATGAATTTTAGCATGCCTGTTCGGATAAACCACAGCATGAAGCATTCGATCCGCAACGTACAGCACTGCAAAAATATGAAGATTTCGATTATCAACCACTTTACTTTGTTGCTGATTCAATCTTCGATGCAGTGACTAAATTGAGGTATTCTCTTACTATTGATAATTTTCTAAATTAATAATTTTCATAATTTTCTAATTAAAATTCTGCAGACGATTTGGTTCTGTTCAAATGTTTATTTTGTTATCATCGCTACTTGGTTTTAGTATAGTCTTTTTACTGTTTAATAAAAGTAGCCAAGTTGATGTCAAGTTAAGTTGACTTGATGTTCATTCTTAAGTTCCATCATTTCTTGTATGACCGAAAGTCCTTGTTTTTCGGTTGCCAAGTTTGCAGGTGACATCTAATTAGCTTAGATTTTATCCTGCATAGTTTAGGCATTCATGATTTCATGTCATAAAAATTTTCTTAAGTAATATTTAAAGACGCTGTTTAAAAGCTATAATTAAATATTTACAATTGTAGGTCGAAAGAGAGATAGAAAGAAACAAAATAATTTAGAAGATGGTATAGTTCGGAAAAATTCTGTGCGCTTCTTTCAGCTTCCAATTACGTTTCGTTAAATTACAATAAAACCGTGAACGAGTAAATTTTAGAGTTTTCGCGCAAAATTTTCAACGTCCATTTGTGGTTACCTATAATCCATATACGGAATCAGTGGAAGTTATGAGAGAAATGCAAGATCTGAAGAATGGATTAAATCGCTTCAAAGGCGAACTGTCATCGTTTACTGAAGCTGTCGAAGCACTGAGCAAAAATATAGCTAAGAAATGAGTTATATTTCCATCAACTAATTGTCAGGAGTAAGTTTCAATTGCGGAGGACACAAAAAAAGTGGATGTCATAAAGTTATAATAAATCTTAATCTTTATTTAATGGATCTATAAATATTATTGGATGTAACAATCCTATTATTGATGGACTAAAGTTTGTTATCTTCAAATTCATATTTCTTCTTTAGCTTTTTAAAATCTCGAAGTATTCCTTCAGAATACATACCATTAGTCAAAAATATGTATCACTCTGACATCGAGACTAAATCTAACTCAGTAATCAGATCACTGATAGTAAGCATTTTGCTAATTGCAGTATTTATCACATATATAAACACATTCTTCTATGTTTGCAATAAAAAAAACTGCACAACAAGGCACACAGCTAAATCACCAATAAAAGATTATCACTAACTGTCATGAATGCAAGATTGTTTGGCAATCCGTAGAGTGTTCGATGATCTAAGACATTAATTCTTTCCTCTTCAAAACGATGAGGTAGTGACCCAAGAACCAAAGTGAGTCAAAAAATCAAAAAAGAACAACCAAAGTTGGTTCGGAGTTTCCCAAAGATTCCTCACAGTTTTCAAATTATCGTGTTTACAAAATTGACTTATTTCCTTTCGATATATTATAAAACCAAAAAAGTACATTCCAGTGGCCAAGTTCATCTTTGATTTCTTATAATACATCTCTTTAGACATATGTTTGCAAATGATTATTTTGTAGAAGTGTCGCATTTTTGAAATCTTGGACTGTGGAAGAGAATTTGTTTAGCTAACTTGCAGTTTGATACTTCCAAATTATGAAAGTTCAGTGGCAATAATGATCGTTATTAAAAGGCTTCTGAACTATTATCATTTAAACTTCGTTTCAGAACTGTTGAGGACATGAGAGAGCGTCTGGGATTTGCTTTGTATCCCATATCGATATATAAATTGCTCGGACATGACTGTGGTGATTTGGCCTGAAAGCGTTTTTTTTTTTTTTCATTTCAATAAATTACATTGCTGTTGTGACTGTCTGCTCAATTATCAATTGCTTAATGTACATTTGTTAGCACAAATAAAGTCATATGAGTTCAGATTATAATAAAAGCATTTTGCATCAAGAAAATGTCTTTTCCGGTCATACTCAGATCAGTAATTAAATGTACATTAATCAAATTGAAGCTAATTATTTATCAGGTTAAAATTTAAAATTCTGCCAGCTTTTCTTCTAAAAAAGAGATCAAATTCTAGGTTGAGAAGTCTTCTGTAAAAAAATTTCATATCAAAGTTGAATTCCAATTTACTTATTTTAATTGAAATTTTAAATAGCTTTGAAATATATTCCCAAGAAGAAGGAAGTGAATAATAAATGGGTTGACCTTATATTTGATATTAATATTTGTGCGCAAAAGACGTCCGTTAAGAGGTTTTAATGGACGATAATTGGGTGACATTAAAACTGGACTAAGCTGCTTGGTTTCAGTTTGCTGAAGATCATTCCAAATTTGAAGCTAAAAATATTTGAAATGATTAGACAATCATTTCAAAGCTTTATGATTTATGTAATTACGTTTCTTTCCATTTGTTTCGTTTGTTTACTTTCCTACTTCAATTTTCCTAGGCTTTTTCCTTCTTGTATATTTCATTAAAAAAGAAAAGGCAAGATTAAGCCAAATATGGTTTTAAAAAAACGGAAGAAAAAAATCACACATCTTCTTTGGTGATATATATGGGATTATTCATGATAACCCAGGTAACTGTTTCAAAGCAACCTGGAAATGTTAGCGACCCCTCATATGTTATATAATCTTGAGTTTGTGGTAGAAGTCCATATGCACTGAATCGTTTAAGTATTGTTTTTGTGCCTGAAATAGATTTGATCATATTTTTATTTCACCGTAATATTAACTTTATTAGTATCATATCTATTCGATCATCCCAGCAATTACTTTACTTTAACGTAAGCCGTATACCATATTGTAAAAATAAATGGTATTTATAAGGATGACGGAATGGAAACCTTTGTAAGTAATACTCTGCGAAGCAACAGTTAATTTTCGTAACTCGGTGTTTGATACAGTACCCAGCTGAAACAACTTCTTTTAATTTATAATGACACCGAGAGTTCTTGAATAAATTGTAATAATTCCAGGAGTTCTTGAATAAACTTACCAAGCGATTATTTAGAATTTCTTAATTAGCCGGATAACTAAAATGAGATTCCGAAATACGTTATCGCTGTTAATAAATATTGCTAGGAAAAAACAGTATATAAAATTACAAAAGAAGTTAACACTTACATCAACAATTATTGAGATAGCCAAAAGACCACGTGACTGTGACATTGCTTCCGTGAAATTGGAATATAAATCAGTATTGTACGCTAGTAGTTGTATCTAAAAGTCTACAGAACTCTTTCGGCTATTTACAAATGCAAACAATGAAAACAATCGAAATTTCTTTCCATTTACCCATAGCTTCCCATTTTGCATATTGAAAGTATTTGTGGTAATGTCCGTAGCTTTAACTTTAAGAATTAAAGAGCTTTACCTCTTTACAGGAAGAAAGTAATACAGAATAGAAGAAGTTACCTCAGCTGGAAATCGAACTCGATCGATGGTGTGCTCCGAGCCTCGTTCATCATTGGCTACTAGTCCAAAATGTACCACAACATGGTGCAGTCGATACCTGTCCTTGTAAGGAAATACAGTAGCATATTACAGTACTTGTGGATGACATATATGTTAGCATACTATACTTCCACAGTAACGTCCATCTGATATGCATAAAATTTCTAGTATTTGTGTTAATAATATAGCTCTGTCATTTTATACCTGTACGGTGATGAAGGACCACCACTGATATTGATATTTCCATGTTCGATCAATGAATCATTGATAGTGATCAATGGTAGCTGACCCATATTTTCCAGTGTTGCTTGCACCTTGAATTGAAATAAATTCCTTAGTATATTGTATAAGGTGGCGAGAAGTAATTGAAATAATTCTATGAAAATAGCTGTAATAATTTTATCAACAAAACTTTTCTAATAATCCTAGTGATAGGATCAGTGATCATTTAATATCAGCTATGTAAAACAAATAATTATTACAGAATGATTAAAGTTTATTTATGTTTTAGATCAATCAAGAGTTGAATAAAGTAGATTATATGAGTGGTGTAGACACTTGAAATAATGTGTGCGTACCTGGTGTTTATTAATATGAAGAGGTAGGAGACCAGGATCGTATAGCAGCACCGACGGATCTACATTGATCGGTGATTGTAGTTGCCCTGTTGTACACATTCGCCAATGCTTGTTAACAAGGCCCCAGAAATCGGGACCTATAATGCAAGGGTAGAAACAGGCAGTCATCAACCATGGAATCATACCTTTCGTTCCCCGGTGCTGAAATTTGAATTTCCAAATTCAATCAAACTTTTAAAAATATACCATACCTGTGAATTTTTGATACTTTATTATAAAATACTGAAAATGAACTCCTCTATACCTATCAAAATCTACAAGAAACAAATTAACCTTACTTCAGTCTTTTAAAGCTAAATTAATACACCAGTCTTAATACGGGAGAAGTCAAGAAATTTATGCTCTTAACAGGAACGAATTTAAGAGAAAACAAGAGAAAGCCTCTCAATCATGCTTTATCATTTATATCTGTGTTTTCAGAAACATTCTATTGCCTTTAATGTGTTCCGTCCTTGCAGAAAGGAAATTTTGGTTTGTTCGATGAAAAATTGGTTGGTAGGAATCAATAAATCAAATAAAAATAATTGCTGGTCTTTTTAATTTAAAATTATTGTTTAAAAAAAGCTCATTGTGTGCAAAGAAACAATGACTGAAGTATGCCGTGCACTTAAGAGGAAAGATAAGTATAAAAAAGTATTTCGGAAACGTTAATGATAAGAGTAATGGTAATGGTATGACTAATTAGTGACTGTCCCTCAAATGCTTTCTTTAATCTTAGCATTATGTAAAATAAGAGTAAGGAGAATGAGCAGAAGAGAAGCGGAAGACATTTTGTGGAACATAGGCTTACAATCCCTTATTACCTTGATTATTTATTTCTTCTCATGCAATCCTTTTTCTAGACAACATTAAAAGCATTTTTCCTCAAATGGCACCATTAAGTAGTAGAACATTGCTATTATGGTGAAAAAAGCTATTTTAAGCTTTCCATTTATTTCATTAATTTCTTTTTATTCTTAAGCTTTAATGACGATGATGGATTGAAGCGCTAAAGAATGAACATAAGATATGAAGGATAGATAGCAAAGGACAGGGTAAGGTTACAAATGATAATAGAAGTTTGAAAAAGTATTTCCTAGTTATGGAATTATCTTCAATTGCTTACTTATTGCTTCCTTTTCATATTTCAACTAAATCACTGTGTGAACACCAATCCTTTTCAGTCCAATGAGTTATTCCTAAGTCAAATAAAAGTTATCACTTATATATATATAATATTAACACTTACCTATTGATATTACTAATATATTGGTGAGATTGTAATAGTGAGTAAATAATGCTAATGAATAGATAATTCTATTAGTTGAATTGCCTAAGCTATTGGCCAAAGTTTAATCGAATTAGCAAAATGTAACTATTTTAACTTATATTTACTGAATATTAGCATTGAAGTATAGGATGCTTTGCTATATCGTCACTACCTATCATATGAATCATTAATTAAACATAATGATAACAGAAGGAAAATGTATCTTTTGGTAGTTCAAAGAATTAGTCGTGTATGTGTAAGTGTATCATGGGATATCTGCTCTCTATAAATTTAGATAGAATGTGACATTAGAAATAAATAAATTAGATGGAGGAGAAGATGAAATTCTAATTATCGTACTTTTAACATTTCTTTTAGCTCAGAAGTATCCTTTTCCTTTCTATTCCCATTCCAATACATTTTCTTATCAGTTAGTTTCTCACTGAAAATTTACCGGTTTTAATATTCTGCACTGAATCTTCTGGGATTTTCTGAGCAATACAATTGAGAATTGATTATCGGTCGGCCAGTTTTTTAGTTATTAAATCTTTCAACCACTTTTAATGCACTTGCTAGCGGAGATTTTGAGTTTTTTCCTTTTTTTGCTTATCAAATTTTTACTTCAAATTTTTTCCATAAAATAATTTCCAAAAAAAAAAAAACTGTAGAATAGAAATTGGCAGAAAAGGCCGAATAAGGCTATAGGAAGTGAGAAATTTTCGAAAGAAATATCAAAACTCAATAGAAAATGATGCAAAAAAAAAAAAATAGTATTTCAAAAGAAAATAAAAAAAAATTAAGACGAAAGCCTCGTAATTTCATTTAAATAAATTAGTAGAGGAAAATTTTTTTTTACCATATTAACAATTTCTGCATATGACTAATTAGATCGTCAGCTTTAGCCGATTCGTTAAATGCTCGAAATGATGGGATAAGTCATTTCGAGCATTTAATATATCAAAAGTAAAGAATTATAGCTAATATATTTTCTGCGTGTAATAATATATTTTCTATTTTAACAGTATTAAAATAGCTAACAAAAACTAAACGCTGCATGAAGAACATTTTTTCCTGTTACTTATTACTAATAAACATTTTCCTGTTTTAAATCTTTTCCTAAATATGTTTGTATATATGAGCTTATTTCGAGTCAAAATGAGCATTGAAAGTAAAATTGTTCGTCAATAAATTATTTTTAATTAGGTTCGTCTAATTGAGAAGATTGATCAAAGTATTTTAATTCGAAAAAATCATTTTGACATGCTTTCTCATCTTCCTTTATCTCGAAAGATTGTTAAATAATTTTAATTAATTTGTTAAATGCACGAAATTAAATATCTTGCTAATACTATGAGTTTATATTTCAAAAGTGCAGACCAGGTATAATAAATTTCTTTTAAAGCAAGCATTTTACTTTTTATTGCAAATGACATTTTACATTTCAACACGAATGTGATGTAATAATTACTTTTTAGTTGAAAATTTCAAAATGTTTTCTCAGAAATTTTTCACTTTTCAACGCCCTATTCATTTCGAAATAATGAAGCGTTTCATACTAATATTCTATTTAAAAACTTGTGAATTTTATTCATTAAAAAATTCGCTATCATATGACAGCTTAAAATAATGAATTCTACAACTGAACAAATTCTTTATTAATATTACTCATTTATCTAAATGGGACATCTTAGCCAAATATTTTCAGGACTAAATAATTTTAATTTTATATGCTATCTTCTAATATATGACCTAAACTATAGTATGCCGAAGAGTATGAAATCAAAAAGGTAGTGGCTGAGGTGTAACATTTTGAGAGTTTGCAGAAGCTGAAAATAAAAAAAAAAACTAATTTCTTTCGGTGAGAAATAGCAAAATTGGTTTTCAAGGGTGGAAAGTAGACGAAATTTCAGAAATTTTTATTATCAAATGGTAAAATAACTGAAAGAAATTTCGTTACAATACAATAAGTAAAAATTTTTGGTTCTTATATTCAATGAGAGTATTCGAATTAGAGAGTGAACAATAATCAATTGTAAAAGTTGGGATAGTATTTATATTGGATTTGGTTAAGGTCAATTAAAGTCACTAATTGGAATAATATGAAAATATCCGTCTGGAAATTTCGTATTTTGCAGTAACATTATAAGCTTGATGAAATGCTTATACCTGAATATCTTTAAGTTACTCCGAAATAGACATCCGTATGCAATGATTATTTTAAGAAGAGTTAATGTGAATGCTAATTACAAGAAAAATTAATTTCTAATTAGAAAATAAACTTTTTAAAGTTTCAAAAATAATTATTTTTTATATACATCTCACTATCGGTAACATAGACTATTCTTTCTCAAAGCTCTTAATTTTCTAATCAGAGCATCTTCACACTCTCGAAATACCGAAAACAAGAATAGAATAAAGACATTTGTCAATCTTTGTCATTGATTTTGGACAGCAGTGGCAATTTGAGGGAATATTAATAAACAAGCTATCGAGAATATTAAGTGTCTGCTGCTAGAGTTCACTATAAAAGGAGAAAATAGGCTTGCAACTGAACAAAAACAAAAGAAATCTAACAAGCACTTGTTAGATTAATTGGATAGAATTGAAGTAGATGATTGGGTATTCTATCAAATTAATTTAACCTAATAGAAGGCTAACCTAAGGAGCAAATCTAATACACTGCAAAATTGGACTGATCGAAGACTAGTCCAATTTTAGCAGTGGGAAAGAGCAAGTAAGAGACTAGATAGGCTTTAAATGAGTTTGAAACTATCGTAAAACATGCTCTTCGACGCTTTGAAGACAAATTTAATTTACCGTTCATTTGTGTCAATGGATGGAACTGGAAACCGAGGAAACTCAATCAATTTGAACTTTTTCTCACTTCATGCAAATTTTCCATTTATTCCTTTAAACTTGATAATTAACCAAAGCAAATTTCTTGGCTACTTTCTACTTAAATTAAGTACCAACATTAAATCTTGCAAAATAATTATGTATAATTTCTTCTCAGGAGAATGTACATCACGATAAAATAACAAATCGAGTCATTCCTAATTAAATTTTTCTCATAAGTAATTTTAAAAAATTTTCAAATAAATTATATATATGATTTGTTTCTGTATAATTTTCTGTAAAATTTGGAATTTTAAAATAGAAATTTATATTAAATTTGGTTATATAAAAGAAATTTTCACAGAAATATATGCATATATATGTATATGTATATATGAAACGATTAGGTTAAATTAAATGAGCACATTTTTAATACATCCTCAATCGAATGCATCAGCATATATGGCATACCCTTTTCTCATAAATTATGTATTAAGTAATTATCACGAAAAGCGAGACTACTCTAGGTTTTAGTAGGTTAATTTTAGTAGATCTTATATGTTTATTTGTTCCACACCGAATAAATTTGAGATAATGTTTGAATATGATTTATTGTTTAAATATTTTATTTGAATAAATGATTGATCTTAAGTGATTCAAATTTGAACATTATTGTTTTTCGTACTTTGATTTATAGAAAATTCATGGAAAAACTTACAATGCTATTGCATAATTGTTGGAAAGTTCATTAATAGTTTATTGTTTAAATAATATAATTGTAACGACAGGAATTTTTGAGATTTTCGAATTGCAACTGGCACGAAAAGTACGAAAAATAAGGTTGAAACGATGTCTGAAAGCGAAAATTTGCTTAAATAGTCATTGCGGTACTTTCTTAGCGATATAATCTCTCTCTCTCTCTCTCTCTCTCTCTCTTTCCCTCATAAAGCAATAGATACAATGAATGATTCATAAACCATTCTCAACTACTTTCTTTATAACCTTTTACTTTGCTTTGAGTTAGCATATCTTTAGGACT